TATATATACAAGAATACCGCATATCTAGTAACCTCTTGAGGTTTCAGGAAGGGACGTGAACGTTCGAGAATATGACGTGTTACTAGGGTCACGTGACCTCCGCTGTCGTAACAGAAACATCGTTGAATATGTTAAAAGTCGCAGAACATAAATATTTAAAAATACAAATAATCAAATAATAATATAGGGGTCGGGCATTTTATCTGTTAAATGGAAGGGTGTTTGGATTGAATCAAAAGAGGTTCTTTATAAATCTCTAAAGTTTGATCCGATAAGGTGTTTCATTATTTATGCTTTGTTCAGCGGTGGCTTCTTTGTTGTCAAGATTTGCAGTAGTACCAATGTGTTCTTTGAAACGATCATATATTGGACGATTGGATTCACCTACGTATGTAGCTAAACAATGAGTACATGCCATGTCATAGACAATGTTCCTAAGTGTGCAAGATTTCTCTCTTCTTGTTTATTTTCTTTTTCCTCCAACAACTGCTGTAATCTCTCTTCTTGTTTCTTTTCCTATTCCTCCATCAACTGCTGTAATCTCTCTTCCTGTTTCTTTTCTCGTTCTTCTTGTTTCTTTTGCTGTTTTTGTTTCTATTTTTCTATAGTTCCCTAATTGAAACATTACATTGCTCAAGCAAGTTGCTAGCTTTAACTTTCCCCAGACGCTGATTGGGTCAAGTAGAGATTAGGTGCCTTCTTTGTCTAGCTCACTTGCAAGAGTAACAACATGCTTTTTACTTCAAGTCGGCGAATTAGTCGGTAGTTGCGTATGGAGTCGACTATTATATTCTCTATCTATTGGCCAACTGATCTAACAGGTACCAATTACTGTTTTCTTATGTCCAAAACTTGAGAGTTTATTGCTATATTCAAGACAGTGTTTTGAAAACGGAGAGAGCAGATTCGTCGTACATTTTTAGAGATTTTTTCAGCCGATTTTAAGTATAGTTCCACCGAATTTAAAAAAAAAATAACATAGCTTTGAATAGTTTTCTTAGATAGATTTTGTTTGCATTAAAGTGTAGTTTTTCAGTGAATTTAGGAGAATTTCTAAAGTTCTTGCATCTCACTGAAATCACAGGTTGTCATATTATTTCTGTATAGTTATTCTTGTGGAGAATCCACATAGTTTCTCGTAATTTTGGAGTTAACTTTGGTTTTCAATTATTTTTACAATGGACTGCACTCACGGGTATAGTAAATGGTAGTGTAAGTTTACCTGCCCGTGAACATTGTGTTAATTTAGAATATGATTTTTTTTCTTTTTATTCATTACTGATGTTGTAAAATTGTAGTAGGAGCTTGTATTTTTCAATGATTACACTGAAGGTTTACTTTACTGTTTTACATTTTACCTTGGGGACACTCTTTTTTTAATGATTTTCTTTTACATGGGAGGAACAAGCACAAACAGAAATATTTTTGTTCAATAAAGTATTTTTCTTGATCATTACACGCAACAGCATGATCACTTACCCATTTTTAATCTGTAGTGTAATGTTGAATTGTATTATAGGGTGTTATTGTTTATGCTGTGTGTGGTGGAGATTTTAATTAAACATTTGCATCCTGTGTGAAATCTATGTCAGTCTCATTATTTGTGGCCCAACAATCGCACCCATCAAGAAACACATTCACATATCCACATACGAGATCCACAAATTCACTGTTTTTGCGGGCCTGGGCTTTCTCCCATTGCAAGAAATCCTCGAGGTACCACAGATTTTTTTTATAAAGTTTCATACACGATATTAACTAAGAAAATCAGATAAGTCTGGATTGAGAAAGATGGCGTAATTGGACTGTAGGGTAGTTGGATGATACAAAGCTAAACATTGTTATTAATGAAAACTAATGAAACTGAACCTTTGTTACTTGTGGTGCACTTCATGGGCCAGTGTTTGGTCTTTCATTTTATTACTTATATGAACTATACTGATAGGGCATAATTAGTAAATTAATAAAATTTCTGATGACACTTTGGCTATTTCTAGCAGTATTGAGGAAGTTGAGAGGTTACAGAATGGCATTGATCAATTGCAAGTTGAATAAATAGTTGGCAAATGACGTTTAATTATAATAAGTGCAATAACTTGGACCCCACGTTTAACATAGATGGGGACCAACTCAACAGCGTAACTGAAGAAAAGGATCATGGCATAATGGTAGATAAGTTGTACAAGCCATCGAAGCAGCACTCTAATTACTGATAGTAAAGCTAATACATAGGTTGAATTTGATATATTAAAACTATTAAGTTGTCATGTCCTGCTATGCTCTGTCTCACGACTGTGCCCCTTGACAATAGTGTGCAGTATAGTTTGGATTGCAAAAGACTCTGTTGAAGGCTATAATGTTCAAAGTATTCCTTCTAGTGTATGAGGACGAGAATTTCGAAATCAGTGGTGTTTCTAATATTTTTAATTGGAGGCAAAAGAGGGGACCAAACATTATTAAATGCAAAAGAAATTGGCTTTTTTTTTCTTTATCATGCATATGTTTATTCTGTTCAGTTATCAAAAGCAGAAATTACCTCAAGCTCTCTTTGCACTAGTTTTGTGGTGGTCTAATGCTGTTTGAAAGTACCATTAACCCCACCACACTTGACTCATTCAGAAAAACTAATTATTTTATGTCAGTGGGAGTTACATGTAGATAGAATTTTAAGCTTAAAAAACTATATCCTAATATCTCATAGAGGGGCTGCTAGTGGACAAAGCTCTCAAATGAAGATCTTCCTCCACACTACTTCAGTGAGCAGCCCACATCCAAATTACCACCTTTGTCAGTTCAGTCACACAGAAACCCATAGATGCTACATACCTGCTTGGTGGTTAGGGCGCTCGACTCGCAATCTGCGGTTCGCCGGTTCGAATCCCCGTCACACCAAACATGCCCACCCTTTTAACCATGGGGGCGTTATAATGTGACAGTCAATCCCACTATTCGTTGGTAAAAGAGTAGCCCAAGAGTTGGCGGTGGGTGGTGATGACTAGTTGCCTTCCCTCTAGTCTTACACTGCTAAATTAGGGGCGGCTAGCGCAGATTGAAGTATGCTTGAAGTATGCGACAGTTGAATAGATATGTCATGGAAGCAGTTTATATGCTCATAACTTATGTTGCTTTTCCAGATAGAGATCCTTCTTGATTATATTGTGTACTGTTGCCTGCAACGCGTGGATAGATTTTGCCATTGACTTTTTTGTTCACGGATTCTCACCTGTTATGAGACGTTATAATGTACTCACTATGGCTTTGGTACGACTTCTTGCACATCTGTTTGTGGATGACCCCACCTCCCCAAATTAATCCATATTTATTTGTTTTCCAATATGTTAGAGTTTAAGGGATATTGCTATTTTTGAAATTGTAAATCCACGATCTGAATGTAGCTTTATGATCTGAATATATGAATATTTGAGTCGAAAAGGGCTATCACATACCTCTTTCTCAAGGTTTCAAATTTCGGCGCATTACTTTACCTATACAACGCCCGAAGATGTCAAAATGATTGATTTATGTACTGACTTGTCGTTGGTAATAGAAGCTATCTTTTACAGGGATTGAAGAAGGGAATAGATGATTTCGTAAAAAATAATGGGCGAGTTGAAATTTTGACTTTTTCATGCTCTTAAGATCACGAATATCTTAAAGAATTAAATAAGATAGATCAATTTTTACCTCACCAATTAGTACCCTAGTTCACTCCATAAACAGTTGTTGTTCATGCAATATGATAATATAAATATAGAATTGTTGATTTTATTGTTTTATTGGTATCATACTATACAGTGGGCTATCTGTGTTCTATCCACTGCGTGGTTTAATACCTCGGATTTTAGTGTTGTAAGTCCGTAAATTTACCGCTGTCCACCGAGGGACCAAAATAGAGTCTCACAATAATTGGTCTCTGCAGCAGTACAGCTATACAATAACAAGTGATGGTGGTAACATCAAAGTCATAATAGTTGACCCCCCCGTGGCACAGCAGTATGTCTGTGGACTTACAACGCTAGAATCCGGGTTTCGATACCCGTGGTTGGCAGAGCACAGATAGCCCATTGTGTAGCTTTGTGCTTAATTGCAAACAAACAAACATAATAGTTGTTTCCTGTAGTGATGCCCTCCCAGTGGCTCAGCAGAAAGTCTGCGGAATTGCACGGTAAAAATCGAGTTTCTAATCGTGGTGGGGCCCGGCATGGCCAGGTGGTTAGGGCGCTCGACTCGCAGTCTGAGGGTCGCGAGTTCGAATCCCCGTCACACCAAACATGCTCACCCTTTCAACCGTGGGGGCGTTATAATGTGATGGTCAATCCTACTATTCGTTGGTAAAAGAATAGCCAAAGAGTTGGCGGTGGGTGGTGATGACTAGCTGCCTTCCCTCTAGTCTTACACTGCTAAATTAGGGACGGCTAACGCAGATAGCCCCCGTGTAGCTTTGCGCGAAATTCAAAACAAACAAAATCGTGGTGGTTACACCACAGATAGCCCATTGTGTAGCTTTTTGCTTAACTACAAACAAACAAAATCTTTAGTGATACAGCTTTAGCATAACAAGTAATGAATATATTGGTATCAACTTATAATGATTGGTTTCTCTAGCGAAACAGATAAAGCACAACAAGTGTTGATGATAGAGATATCAAACATCATAATAATTGTTTTCTATAGAGATCCTTGTACAGGATAACAGTTAGTGGTGATAATGATATCACTTTAATGTAATTCACATTGATACAGTTGCTGTCCAAGCAACTGATTATATAAATAGCGTCTCGATTATTACAATGTCTGCTGTATCCGTATCCCAGCCGGTCTGACGAACCCTGGTATTGGGCAATGAATATAGCAGATATAGTGTGGATGACATATTATTATAAATTTTTCTTTATTTTCAATTCTAGGGTATTCGAATTAGATAACTATAAGCACGAATAAATATCTAATTCTTAAAAATTGCTTTTGCGGTTAGTTTGAATTCAAATTTTGTAACACGTATTAATTTTTATCTAGTACTTTTATCGTAATTTTTTAGGCTGATGGGGAAGGATGATAAACTACAATTGCTACATTTATGTATTTTACATTAACTTAATCCATGACATGGCGATACTCGCTAGATAAAGCATGTTTTATGCGAGGTATGACATTGTATCATGAAGTTTGACATTGCTTAATTTTGATGTATTGTACAAATTGCGCCATTAATAATAATCGCACTATCTTGTAATTGTAACACTTAACAGTTAAAACTAACGAAAACGTTTATATTAGCCTACTAGTACTAGTAGTATTACTATTACTATTATAGTAACAAGTTAGTATAAACAAAAAATATCGCTATCTGAAGTTTGGTATTTAAACGCGGGATGAGGGATACTAGTTTATTCCCAGAAAGTTGAGAAATTAAGAACATTATAATGTAGTTTAATTAACTAAGACTAACGCTATGATAGTTATAGATTAGTAACATGTTAATCTTTAATTAAACTAATGTTAACATTACTATTCTTTTAGTTTGAGTTTGCTGTGGCCTGTAGGTGTGCCTTTACTCAAATAGATTGAAGTATAGGGATAATTTTTTTAAATGTTTTATTAAGCTGAAATAAGCAATTTGAAAGAAAAATGTTTTATTGTTATTGCTAATAATTTCTACTTTCTAGTAATCATTGATACAGTAATGTACTGAATTCCGGAATTGCATTTAAACACATCTTTAATGTGTTTTTCAGTTGCTTTGATATTTTGTTAATTTTATGTGTTAACTTACTTTTAAATGTTGAAATACTAAAATAGTTTGACATTGTAGTAGTTAGAACTTCTATTATACGTTATTATGATATGAAGTAAGAATAGGCAGTTTGCTTTGTAACATTCTTCATACATAAACACTAAAAATAAGACGGGAAAAAAAGAGGATAAAACAGCTGTGTGGACTGATGGTCATTCATTGACTTGCATATATATATTTACTTCAACATTGCTCTAGGGAGCAATTTGTAAGTGGTCAGGCCATTGCAACATTGGCATTTCTAGGGATGGGGGGGGGGGGTATGTTCTTCTAGTAAAGTTTTGAAATTTTAATGCTATGAGATTGAATCTTGAGTCATTTTAACTAAACCCAACATAATGTACTAAATTAAAAGTAGCAAGTTGTAATAAATAAGTTATAACTATACATGCCACGAAAAAAAGTGGTTAAGCCATGGCCTTACCACTTCCTATGGCCCTATTCAAGTGGGTTCCTCATCATCATGAACTTGATGTAATATGAATGAGATTTAATACAACATTTTTGTAGTCGGCTAATTACTAATTTCTAATTTAACTAAAAAATAATTTCCCACTGTTGTAAAAGCTCCTTACGAATAATACAAATTTTCCATTTTTGTATAAAATTTCTCAAAACAAAAATATTTTTCATAACAAAATTTAACTGCTTGAATGCTTCTTCAATAACCCCAAGACTCCATCAAGTTTCTAATTTTTGTTCTTATCCCTCTCCAAAATATATTATTTATGCTAATGAGACTAAGTTTTCCTCTTGCTCAATATATATATATATATATATATACAGCTCCAGTAGTCACCATTGAAAACATTATTAACTCTGTATAATTCTCATATAACCAGCTGTTGAAGCTCTCACTTCTAAATTCTTATGTCCAAGTTTTAATACCAGAGTAATATGAAAGTTAATTTATGTTTCTTACAACTTCTTTAGTGTATGTACTTTAACTTGTAAAGTAACTTGATTTAGATCTAGATAATTTTCATTACACTATGAGAGCTTTTCTCACTTCAAAACTTAAACTAGACAATCTTTGATAAAGTCTTGAATTTACCCCACATAATCAACTTTCTAATATGTTAAATTGTACCATATACCTATACACTGCAATTAATGTGAACTTGTGTGTATCAAGTGTTATTTAAAATATACTTCAATACCAATTGAAGCATAATGATTTGTAAGTGTTGACTAATTTTGAAGTTTTAACACTTTGACAGCAGCTGTTTTAAATGTGCTCAGAATTTTTGCGAGCCACACACTGTATACAGCACTATTGCTTTCAACTGTTGGAGGCAGACCACACCCTATTTGGCAAATCAGCAGATAATGGGTTAAACAAGCTATTGATAGCACCTACATGTATTAAAGACTCAGTAGTACCTATTAGCTTAGATTTATTCTGATGTAGCACTTTGAGTAGTTAAAAATGCTTTACTATTAAGTGCTATGAGGCCTTTAACTTAGTTGGTAGAGCACTTGTCTAGCATGCAAAAGGTTTCGGGTTCAAAGATAAGGCAAGGAAATATACCAACACAGGTCATTGTTATTTATTTTAAGCAACTGAAGAAAATATAGTACCATATTTTCATTATACATAGATTTTTTATAACAAACAGAAAACTAATAATTAAGTCCTGATCTCTACTGATACAGATTTATAACTTAAGACAATTAATCAGATATGAATTATATTTTCATCTTTGTTATGTGGTGTTGATTTTTTATATTGCAACACGGAGAACTTGGAAAGGGATGGAATATCTACAATGTCTATGAGTGCTATTTCTGTAGATATCTTCTTCTAAGGATTTACATTTTGCAGTTTCTTACAATTATAATTATTATTTTTATATGTGCTGTTTTATTTTTATTGCTAAGATAACTGATTAGTTAAAAATTATATATATATATATATGTGCTGTGGAAAATTTCCAAATATATTTAAGGGTTATTCAGAACAAGTTTTAAGGTGAAGAGTAGCCGGTGATTCTACAAGACTGGTTAAATAAAGAACAGTTTGGTAAAAAAAAAAAAAGAGGATTTGAGTTTTCATATATATATTCATCATGAACTGAAACCACCTTGAATTACAGTTTATATGTCATGAATCATGATAGTGGTTCATAATAGAGATTGCAAATAATTGCACAAAATCCTTAAGTATAGGGTGAAACAGGAATTACCAGCCAATAATTATAATAGATGAAGATTAGATGACTGTAACATGTAGATACTAAATGCTTTGTACATTATACAATGGGTGTCTTTAGGGAGCCAACCTCTATATTGTATATGAATTGAAGGAGTAAAAAAATTCAATATACATAATATTAAATTTTACTACACATATTTGTAGAATAATTACTTTAAAAGATGTGAAGGATTATTTAAAGCAATTTTTTTATTTGAAAAGGCTGCTTTTCTACTAATAATTTTTTTTTCCTCACTTGGTGGGGGTTGTGTCTTAGTCTAGGCATATATCTGTCCAATACTGTGCATAAAATATAAAAAGTTTAGTTACAAAGAAACTATAAATGCTGACTATATTCCCAAACAAATCTACATGACAATCTCCATCTGAAGTTTAACATTTTACATCTTGAACTAATGTGATCAAATAGTCAATAGTTACAGTAAATCATCATAAACCATATCAGCTAGCTACTATGTTTATTATCAATACAAATCCCTATTTTGACTCCACCAAATGTAATTTTAGGTAACAGCATGGAGCCAACATAGCAGTTTGTATAGTGAGTAAATAATGGCTACAGTATCTCCAGCCATGTTTACTTACTTTTTTACAATCCTTATTTGTAGGTTTTTAAATTTTAATTTTTTATTTATCTTGTATATATATATTAGTGTAATGAGATAAGACTGTATATGACGAAATTAAGATTAACAGTAACTTGTAGTACCTGAATTCTGTGCCAGATATTAATTTAATTAGAAGTTTAATAAAGTTGTGTTAATCCAAGAATTAAAAAAATCGGTTGTTGGCTGAAGAGCAACTTTAAGGTTGCAAGAGTGTTCCTGCTATTTAAATGAAAATTTAATCTTGAGCTTATGCCTTTTTATTATCTGACTTTTTATTGATATGCTTAAGTATATATTGAAACAAAATTTTAAATATCCATATAGATATACAGACACACACACACACACTACTCTTCAAAGGTTTGAATGCAGACACATTTTTGCAGATTTATAGGTGAAATTAAAATAAACACTGGTAATCAGTAAATACTAAATAATATAACTGAACATGTACAAATGCAATTATAATCTAATTACTTTTACTTAAACATTATCTTAGTGAAAATCACCCCTTTTGGTCTTAATGACAGTATTGTATATTCATGGCACTTTGTACTGCATATCTCCAAAAATATGTGTGTTTTCAAACTTTTAAATAGTAGTATATGTAAATCAGATACGTATTTTTGACAAACATTTCAGTGACTTTTTTAACCTTATATATTGGCTGCAATAGCTTTCTAGATGTAGTTTAAGGTGTTTTATTTTTTGCAGTAAAGATTTATAGATTGCCCTAATGGTGATTAGATGTGTTATAGTAGCCATTTTAAGATTTTTGTGTAAGTCATTAAATGTAAGAAAAATTATATCTTACAGATCTATGTGTCCCTGGACCTATCAGAAACTTCTAAAGAAATGAAAAATGCTGACACTTGTTAGTAAAGCAGTCTCCTACCTCTGGGGCAGCCCTAATTTAGATGATTCTAGCACTGGCAGTCAGAATGACATTCTCCCTAGTGCTGGATTGGGTGACTCGTATGATATACTTCCCGAGCAGAAGGAGTATGTTGTTTTTTTTTTAACTGTGTTATAGTAAAAATGTACCTATCTGTGAATAAATGAAATAAGGTTGTTTGAGATTTGTTTCCTAGTCAGAAAACAAGTTTAAACAAGGTCTTCTTATATTATTTGCTTAGGACTCTTAATATAGGATAATCAATATTTACTGGAGTTATATTTGTAAAAACCATTTGTTACAAAGTTTCTCATTAAAGGCTTTGATCGGAAGGCTTAAAGATTTTCAAGAAGCAAGTTTTTTCTTTTAATGTGATACAAAGTCTGCGGTAATTCAATGAAACAAAAGACCTGCTGATAAACATACACAGTAAAAGACATCAGTGTTAGATAAAATTATAACAAAAATAAGTAAAATACCTATGTGGTTTTTGGGTCCATTTTACTTTACTATATAGTAACCTAAATTGATTTAGGTATGTGAATAATGTTATTTGTTATTTCGTCGAATTTGTTATTTGATATTATACAGCAGAAAAACTATTTAATGATTGTATGTCACAGAAATCTTTGACATATGTATACAAAAATAAGTAAAGTTCTATGAAAACTCTAAAATATGACAAATGTCATATTTTGTTTTCTGCGGGAGTCTTAAAATATTATTCTGCTCAATCAATACTTTTATTGTTTGAAGCAAGTCAACACCATTGTAAACTTAAATAATGTGATAAAAGAGGAGAACACTTTATTTGCCTTCAGACTTTTCTTTCAAGGCTTTCAGTTAATTATTGGAAACTATAGGTGAATTTATGTATAATTACTTAACTCCAAAAAAAAAAGAGGAGTCATTTAAATGACATATTTTAAGATGCATTTAAAACTAATCCCTTGAATTGAGACAGCATGAATTAACTTTGTGGAAAATATAATTCAAAAGCATGACATTTTTGAATTATTACATGTAGTGTGAAGGATATTGTATTGATGCAAATATATGTGGTATTTAGTTACACTTACATTTGACAGCAGGTTCTGGAAAAGTTATGCAAAGAATAAACTGAACACAGCCAGCAAAGGATTAAGAAAAGAGCAAGAATTCTATATTCCTTATGTCATTAACAAATTTGTAACTCATGCTAACTTGGACAAGTCTCTTTATCACCCCTCCAAATGAATATGACCTCACTCCAATAGGTCACGACACTGAAACATGGCCAATAAAATATAAGCTTTACAGAATAATCATTGTGGTATTGACCTTTGTTCAAGCTAGAGGTATAACTCAAACTCTTGACCTTTAGTTATTGGTTTACAAGGATTTCACTAGCAACATGTAGAACACCTGCATGAAAATTTAGAAAAAAATGTGACTGAATGTATGTAAAGATATTTTCTTTCTAGTTGTGGAAAGGTGAAATTAGCCATTTCATCTAAAGTTTAATGCATAAGCTTTTTCAAAACACCTAGATTATTTTTTTACATTTTTATTTTGTACTTGTATAATTTTGCATTTCTCTTAAGAAATGATTCTCATAGTTTTCTTATTTATATGTATAGGACCCCAGTGGAAAGAGAAAAAATATCACTGCATGGAAGAGTAACTCATATCAGGAAAAGTGATAGCTATGGTCTTATAAATGGGCATATATATTTTAAATTTGAATCGGTTATTGGTGCTGTTCAACCAAAAATTGGAAACGTTGTATCACTTTCTGCTTCTCGCAATAAGAAGGAAGATGCTTGGTGTGCTGATAGTGTTCAGATACTGAGTGAGTCATGGGAATTTGACGATACTGAAGAAAAATGTGATAAACACGTTAACAAGTGTATGTCTGAAGAATGTGCAGCTGAAGCCAACCTAGGTGATCACAGAATATTTCATAGCTCAGAAAATAGACAATATCAATCTGTTCTTGCTGTGGTAACATCCATGAATGGAAATCATGGCATTTTAAATGAAACAGCAAAGTTTACGTTGCAGGTGGGGTATGAGCTGACCAGAGTTTTATTTTTTACTTCATATTTATTATATTTCATTAAATTTAAAAAATCTTGGGGGTTATGGAAAGAAAATTTATGCAAAAGATTTCATTAAACAAAATATAATAAAAATGCAGTAAAAACTAACATTGTTTCTTAGTCTTCTGTAGTGAATTTTTTATGGAAATTCTTAAAAATGTTAAGCTTCCACATGTAGTGTATTATAAAGCTGGGAAAGTTTTAAAACATTATACATTTGGCTTTGATTTTCTATGCATTTGTTTCTAGTTATAGAAGGTTGAAATTAGCAGTTCTTTCATCAGCAATATACATATTTAAATGTAGAAATTCAGATTTTCTCAGAACAACTAGATTATTGCCTATGTATTTTTATTTTTCTATTTATATATGTTTGCAGATGAGCAAATGGTAATTGAGTTTTTTTTGGGGGTGAATGACAAAACTATATCCCAATATATATATATATTTGAATTTATTGGGGGTTCTGGTTATGTCTGTACAAATGGGTTCTTGCTTAAGCTGAAATATGACGAACCTTATTCTAATTCTTTCACAGAACTCTTCTGTTTGGGGCCTCAATGATTATTTTCTTGTGTTGAAAAGAATACTAGTATATTTTATATATATTAGCTCGTCAAGAAATTAATGTTGCATTTTTGGAACACTTTCATTAACAACCTCCCAAAAACATACATCACATATAGTTAAATGAACTGCCTAAACATCACGTTAGTGTAGCCTATATAATGTGTAAAAGTTTAGTATACTCTAATCCCTTATAGTGATGACACATGATGAAACACATAGGGCATGTAATGCTGTTTGAATACTAGAAGGGAAACAATGCCTCTGTAGCCACAAAGAATATCAAAGAAGTTCATGGAAATGTTTTGAA